TTTAGTATGATATTGGCTCAAAACTTTCTTTTCAATGAACTAAGAGGACCTAGAGGTATAAATGAAACAAATTAGCATATATATTGAATCTTTGAAATCACAGAATATATAATTTGAGGAATTATTAGAACTTCTCCCTACTTCCTATTTCTCTGTCTTCATTTTTTATGTTTTCTTTAACATTTAGTAGAAACTATGTACAATAAATTTTTGCTGTGTTTTACATAAGACAGCCACTGCAGAAATTTATATAGATTAGAAGGAAGATAGATGGTTAAGGAGGGTCCAGTCCTGTGGGATATTTTCTCAGAGTATGAAAGTCAGAGTTTAGTTAGGGAAAAGGGTTCAGACTGCCAGATTAAGTGGATGATTAAAGAAAACAGCTAAAATTCAGGCCTTTGGGTAGGTAACCAGACACCAGGACCACCAATATTTCAAAGGTGCCATTCTTAAGCAGAGGCCCCATCTAGTCAACTATGTGGATTCTTGACTGTGACTTGGGAAATACCATTCCAAAGATGTCTTTCCCATTAGGCAACGTCTCAAACATTCATTCAATTTCAAACAAGGGATTTTGTTTTATTTTTAATCTTAAAAAATTTTAAAGATTATTGTATAATAGATTTGACTTTTTAATGCATAACATATATGGTTCATGTAACTATACCATGATAAGGATACAGAACAATTCCATTCCCTTTCAAAAACTTCCTCATATTACTCTTTTATAATTGCCCACTCCAAGTCCCTAAACCATGTGTTTTCTTCCTTGCTATAGTTTTGCTTTTGAGAATGTCATATAAATGTGATCTTCAAACATAATCTTTGGAGACTAGCTACTGTTAATTAACATAGTGCTTTTGTGACCCATCCAAATTGTTGTGTGTATCATTACTTCCTTCCTTTTTTTTTCCTTTCTTTTTGTGCTAGGGATCAAACTCAGGTTTTGCCCTTACTAAGCACAGACTTTGTCACTGAACTATACCATCATCCCAATACTTCCTTTCCTTTTCTTGCCAGTTGTATGTGATGTTACAGATATAACATCATGCTTGACTTATTGAAAATTAATTAATTTTTTTAAATTGAGGTATAATTAATATACACTATGGTTTAAATATGGCACATCCCATCTGAAATTCATGTGGAAATTTAATCCCCATTATGAAACATTAAGAGATGGGACCTTTAAGAGGCGATTAGAGCTCTGCTCTCATTAGTATACAGATATTAATGCAATTAATGGATTAATGGATTAATGGAAGAGCAGGTCCCCTGTAAAAGCCAGTCTGGCTATATCACTCACAGCTCCCTATCTCTGGCCATGTGATGGCCTGCACCTCCTTGGAATTTGCCCCTAAGAAGGCTTTCACTACAGCAGCCCCTCCACTTTGGACCAGAACTTTGATTCAAAATAAATCTCTTTTCTTTATAATATACCCAGTCTTTAGTATTGTGATATTAGCAAGAGAAGAGAGACCAAAAAAACCCCAAAACACATAATATTAATCACTTTACCTAAGTTTTATTAAAAGAAGAAATGAGATTTGAGATAATCTTCATTCCATAAAAAAGACAACCTTTAAGCGGCAAGCAGATTTTTTTGAACCTGCCATGTTTGTCTGACTTTCTTCAGTTTCCTGCCCCATTGTTCCTCGGTCTTGCGACAGGGGTGACATATTATTTCTATATTTGGAGAATTGTTCAGTACGAGTTCTTTCTCCATCTGCTTGCCCTCGTGTTATTAACAAATGTTTACTTCTTCTTACTGATTTTTGTGTTGGCTCTCCAACACTCTAAATTGCCTTCCTTCTGCAGTTTTTGTGATAGGTAGTACCTGTATATTGCACAAAACACAAACAGTGCAAAATGGTATGCCAAGGTAAGTAATTCTCCTTCACTCAACCCCTGTCTCCTGCCAATTCAGTTTCTTCTCTGAAGCCAATTATTTTCTCAACAGTCTTAGGCATCAATACAGAGCCATTCTACCTGCTACAAATATATTACACGTATCAGTGTATTAAATTTTATGTAAATAAAGATATTAGAGGTATAAAATATATTTGTATATGAATTTACAAAATATGAATAGGTACATATGAAATAATTGCACATACAAGCATATACATATACATGTGATCAGAAAATACAGTGAACACGTAAGTTTTAAAATATTTATTACAGTCAAAGACACATTGCCATTAATCTCCCTCAAAATATTCCTCTTCACTTCAAACACTCTTACACCATCTTTCTCGCCACTTTTGAAGTAGTTCTGGAAGTCCTCTTTCACGTTTTAGTTTATTGTTATGGTTACTTAGATGTCTTTAAATCAACTGAAAAGGTGTACTTTTCATGGTCATTTTGACTTTGGGGACAAGGCAGAAGTCACACAGTGCCAGGTCCAGTAAATCAGATAGAGGAGGACACACAGTAATGTTTTCACAAATTTGCCTATCATTACATGGCACTTGGCAGCAGCATTCCCTGTGGAACAATATGAAAGAGAACAATCATGAAAGAGAACTTCTAGGTCTGCTTTAGAAAGTGGCAAGAAGGATGGGATAGGTGTGTTCAAAGTGGGATCAATGGCAATGTGTCTTGCTGTAAGAATTTTTAAAATTTAAACATACTTTGTATATTTTGATCATGCCTCATATATTTTCCCTACACACATATCAGGATGTATCCTACCAGTGTTCTGCACCTTACTTTTCTTTCTTAATTTTCCTTCACTTGGAGAGCTTTCCATAAAAGTACATTTGTACACTGGCTTCTTTATGAGAAGAATATGATTCTGCATGAGGACTTAATGAATCCAAACCTGTGTCATGCCTGTGTGCATACCCAGTTAAACACTGGATATAAAAATTGTTTTGGTGACCTTTGAACAAAAAGTACATTTATAGTAGTCTATTGTGTCCATTTGACTCTCTTGTATGTGTGTAACATAATTTACTTCAGAAAAATCCCATTACTTGTGATCATGTATATTGTTTCCAAACTGCCCTTCCAATGAATACCTGCAGTGAATATATAATTTTGAGTCATTTCATATAGATGGAACCATCTCTGTAGGATAATTACTTAGAAGTTAAAATTTTGATTTAATTTTTAACTTAATTTCTACTTTTGGAAGATGCTACTGAATTACCCATTATCTTAGTTATACTTTTCTCCTTGCTGAGACAAAATACCTGACATCCAAAGTTAAAGGGGGAAGGTTTATTTAGCTCCCAGTTTGTAGAGGTTTCAGTCCAGAGTTGGCTGGCTCCAAAGCAGAGTGGCACATGGAAGAGGGGCATCCCAGAGGAGAAACAGTTCTTTGCACACAGAAGACTGGAAAAGCAACAAGGGAATTTAACAGCATCTTTCTGCCCCTTTTATCTTACCCAGGTTACTGGGATTAGGGTGGTGCCAAGCCAATCAGTATACTGATTTAGTACTCACACATCCTTAATCCCAGCATCACACACTCTAGATTCAGCCACCTCTGGGAAAGCCTATGACTGCCTGAGGCTTTGCGGGGGACATCAAGACACAAACCATGACACCCTCCAAGGATGTCAATTACACTCTTTCAGCAATAAATCATAGTGTTTCCACATTATCAGCACATATTTAGTGACCGACTTCTTTAACATAATTTCAGGCTTGATAATGAATATTCAATTAGCATTAATAGCTTTTCAATCTTTTTTACTTTTCCTGACAATAACATTTTTTTAAGTGTCTAAGCCAGCTGGGCACAGTAGCACATATCTGTAATTCCAGCACTCTGGAATGGTGAGACAGGAGGATTGCAAGTTCTTGACCAACCTGGGCAATTTAGTGAGACCTCGCATCAAAATAAAAAAGAAAAAGAAAAAAATAAAAAGAACTGGGATGTAGTTTAGTGTGAAGACACTGGGTTCAATCCCCAGTACTGAAAAAAAAAAAAGGCTAAGTCAATTATTTCTAAGAACATTCCTCAATTAGGGCCTATATTTCCTTTAAAACAACCAACTGCCAAAAAGAAGAAAACCTGCATAAAAAGAACCAAGATGCGTTTACATGTATAGTCAGAATACCTATAATTTTTTAAGACTACATTTTGTGTGTGTGTGTGCTGGGGATTGAACTCAGGCTTTCAAGGTAGGTCCAGCACCACTGAGCTAAATCCCCAGCCCTAGGACTACCATTTTTGGTACCAGGGATCGAATTTAGGACCTTACGTTTGCAAGGCAGGCACGGTGCCGCTGAGCTAAATCCGGGGGCAAGACTACCATTTTTGAACCCTTACTATATGCCAGATATTGAGTTAAATGCTTTGCATAGTGATAACAGCTAAGATTTACTGGACAGTAAATTTGTGCCTGGCAAAGTTCTAAGTGCCTTATATGTGTTATTTCACAGTAATCCTTCAAACTTCTCCACGTTATGAATCAGTAAATTGTAGCACAGTCACCCCTCCATATCTATGGGTTCTGTATCCATGGATTCAACCAACTGAGGATGAAAAACAAAAAAATAGAGTCTGCACTGAACCAACAAAGATTTCATTTTGTCATCATTCTGTATACAATACAGTCTAACAACAATTTACATAGCGCTTAATTCATAATAAGTATTATAAGTAATCTAGAGATTATTTAAAATATACGGGATGATGTTGATCAGTAACAGGTGAATATGTTATTTTACATGAGACTTGAGCAGCTGCTGAGGTCCTGGAACCAATACCCAGCAGATACCAAGGGACAGCTACATAGAAAGCCTAATTGTGTACCTCACAGCACAGAACTGATCCTCTTCCTTACTCTGCTTTTCAAGTTACACAGCTATACATGCATTGTAACAAATTAAATTTAGAGGACAAGAATGTAAAATTGGAGTTCTCCATCCTCTCCCCAATGCCCTGTACTAGAGATAACCTCTATTAACAACTGTATGTGTTTATTTCCACATTGTTTTCTATTGGAATTAAGATTTGAGGGGGCCGGGGATTTAGCTCAGTGCCGCCACACCTGCCTCAAAAGCACAAGGTCCTGAGTTCAATCCCTGGTAAGAAAAAAAAAAGAGATTTGACCCCAACTCTTTCTGAGTCTGAAACTCTTCTCTATAATGAATGCTCAATCTTGCCTTCCATATGCAAACAGCAAAGTTATGTAATTATATAGATTCTATAAAGTAAAATAGCTCCTAAGACTCCTGTTAATTGAAAAGCAGGAAAAGTTAAACCATATAAAGTATCATCTTTCTGTTGCAGAGTCTTTTTCTTTACAGCATACAGAACATAAAATTAATTAATTAATTAAAATAAAAGTAGATGTTGAAAATTGACATTCTTCAAGAACCTTTTGCGAACATCCCATGTAGTCAATTGTTGGCAACAGAAATTGAAATAATACTGTAATCAAAGAGGAAGAACAAAGGTGTTGCAACCACAAGCAGTCCTGTTAAGCACCAGCTGATCTAGCTCAAGATTTGTTATGAAAGATTGGAGCCAAGAGCTCTAATAAAATTCTTATGGCTTTGGGATCTCTTGGATGGGGTCTGTGAATCTACTATGAAAGAACATTGTTTTAGGTAGGTCATCTTGTAACCATCTGAGCACCTGCCTGGCAAGCAATAAATGCGTGAAATACAGTGCAGGAACCAAGCCTACAAACACAGGCATGCTTTAATTGATACTATATTACAAGAATTAATATCTGTTTTCAAAGTTCCATTACTATAAGTATAGTGTAAAATATGCTCTAATTAAATCAATTTAGTGAGCATTTATATTGTTATTCACTATGAAGAATACAAAAGAGACACAGTGTAACAACAAAAAATGATCAACATGCATTGGGCATCTAAATGTGCCAGGTACTTTATCAAGTGTCTTATGTGCATTGTCTCATTTATTATTTACCAGACTTCTTTACGTGAACTACAGTCAGGGTCAGCTTATCCATTAGGCTCTTTATGGACAATGTATATGGCTATATTTTTAGGGACTCATTAAAATGTTTTAGTCTCCTTTAGAATTGGAAGAGGGTTAAAAGGCATATGATTCCTTCTGAAAGATATTATCCTTTATGCCAACAGTCACAAAATATAATTTGTAATCATTTTTATGGAGAAAGGAGCTCATGAAGACAAAAGTGCCTTGGGCCTTGACAAGTCATAATGTGGTCTTCACCATAATCATTCTTATTTAACAGGTGAAAAAAGTGAGGCTCGAGGGAGTTAAAAAATAAAAGTTGAACACAGGTCTTTGGGCTCTATTGTCACCCTTTTAAGCACCACACTATACCAAACAGAGCAGAAAACTCATACCAAGTAAACAAAGCAAAAACAAAAAAACAAGTTTGTGATACATTAACTAGTTTAAAAATATTTTTAAAATAATGTAAGTAAATGCCTCTATTTAAGAGCAGATGTTGTTTATAAGGAGCCTGAACTTTTCCCATTTGGAAGACCTCCTTTAAGAAAAAATATAGCTGGGTGTAGTGGTGTACACCTGTATTCCCAGGACTCGAGACACAGAGTGGGGAGGATCACTGTGAGACCAGCTTGGGCTATATAGTGAGGTCAAGGCCAGCCTGAAGTAAATAACAAGACTGATTCAACAAACAAACAATAACAACAAAATAGAAAAAAAGTACAAATTGATAAGTAAAACTTAAGTAAAGGGTTTGCGAGGAGATTGCAGGCAACAGACACTAGGGGTAAGCCTCGTCAGTTTCATAATAATTCCACTTCACTTCAATGTCCCTGGACCCAGAGAAAGCCAGGTGAGGAATCAATGTAAGTGGGGCATAGCAGCTATGAATTTAAGGAGGAAATGGGACTTTGAAGTGTGGTTCTGATTTGGGTACCCTGACTGCAAAGCCACAGGGAATCTTTGTACACTGCTGGGTCTTAGGTCATTACATTTGAAAAGAAGCACCAGGGTGAAGATCTGGTGGCCATGGACAAGATTCAGAAGGGGCAAGAAGAGGCAAAAAGATTTAATTAAAGGACAAATCTGGGTGTGTTTTACTGAGAACTTGGTACATTATGGTTGGTTGGGAAGAACGAGGAGTTAAAACTGAGAGACAAAGGAAAGAGTAAGCAACAAAAAGAATGAAGTAGATATGAAGAATAGAGAGGAACAACATCAGTGATAATTTAATTTTTGTAGTTGTGGGATTGCTAGAAATTTAAAGGTTAAGGTTGGTTCTAGAGCAGTTAAATCTAACAAAATAACTGCAGCCAAGAGTCACCCTGAACAAACTAGACTAGACTCTTGGCATTAATTTTGGCTGTGTTTTCCACATTCCACAAATCAGTACCCCATTTGATAGATACATTGTCTCTTAATTATGTTAACAACATTAAGAACATTGCAGTCAGGTCTCTCTGTTCTTGCTGACTAGGAAACATTTTGTATTTCGCGTGGGTTGTGTTAAACACCAGGCTGAGTTAGTTATAATTTAATACTAAGAATTTTAGTCCTCCTGCTGCTTCTCCAAGTGAGTGGCCCAGAGGCTAGTGCATCAGAAATAGAAGAAAAAGAATGAATGTGGGAGGGCAGTACAGAACTCAAAAAAATACAAAGGGATATGGAATTAGGAGGGAATCTTACATTTATTAAAAAATATTTACTACATACCAGTTATGTGTCAGGCTCTGTGCTCAAAACAAAAGAAAAAGAAAAGGAAAGAGATGAATCATTGTCCTTGGGAAGTCTGAATTTTCAAGGATGGATATTTGGGAAAGTGATGGCATCAAGAATAGCATTAGGACCAGGATTTAGTTCAGTGGTGCCGCCGCCTGCCTCGCAAGCGCAAGGTCCAGAACTCGATCCCTGGTACCAAGAATAGCACTAGGAACAAGAGATTCTTGAGAGTGGGAAGAGGATGATGAATTCAGTTTTAGCCATGTTAAATTTGGTGTTCGGAAAATGCAAGTGCAGATGTCCAGTTCACAATTGTAAACTTGAGAATGATAGTCAATAGAGAAGTCAGGGCAAGAGAGATACAGTTTAAAGTAAATCTACCAGCATACATTAATAATAGAGTTTGAGAGATGAAAGTACTGTTTTCAAGGGTAATAAGATACTCCAAGTGGAGACGCCTAGCAAAGCTACAGATGTTTAAAAAAACAAGGAATAATACAGAATTGGTGAAAAAAGGAAAAAAATTAGACTGATGAAGATAACATAAACAAGATTGCCAAACTAGGAGGAGGCTCAGAATTAGAGCTCATTTTTAGGGTTATAAATTTCTCGGTAAAGAATACTTACCTCCCAAAATGTTGATATGTAGTTTGTGTTCCTGCTTCTTTCTGAATATTGATTGCTGAAATTTTAGATGTAATTTCTACACTTTTTCCTTCCAGGGGCTGGAGATCAAACCCAGGGCTTCACACGTGATAGGCAAGTGCTCTGCTACTGAGCCACACCCTCAGCCCTAGATGGAATTTCCAAATGTATGAGGTTATATCAGCTGTGATTTGTGTGTGTTCAACTGAGAGGAATTTAATACACAGAATTCATTCCATGGATAATGGAGAAACTAAGAAGCTATCTGAGGACACTGAGGCAATCCAGACATCAGTGAAGGTGGGAAGTAGGTGAAACTATGGTCTCCCCTGAGTAGGAAGGGTCTAGCTTAGTAATACCACCATCTGGAATGAGACAGAGCCAAGGTGCAGACTGTTCAACAGAAGCTGAGAGACTAAAGCAGTAATTCACAGGAGGCAGGAAATATTCTGACTTCTTCCTTATGCCTCCCCTGTCTCCCGAGGGAGCCTGGGAATCCGTTGCATTTTATCTGGGGAAGAGAAAGGGAAAAACAGAACAGGAGGTTGACTATCTTTTTGATACTGATTTGTAATTTTTTTAAATTGTGATCAGGGACTATGGCCACAATGATAGTCACGATGATAATGACTATTTGGTATTTGTTGCGGTTCACTTTGTGGCATAGGACATTTCAATTTTTATAAATGCTCCAAGAATTGTATATTCTCTGTTTTTGGTGTTTAGTTTTCCACATATGTCTATCCTATTTGCTTTGTTAACTGTGTTATCCACACAATAGAGATGAATGTTCATCCATGTAATTATTTTGTCTGCATGATGTTGGTTTTTGAAATTAGTTGTTAAAACTCTCATTATGGCTATAGATTTATCAAATTCATATGTTGGCTATTTATGGAGAATAGTCTAAAAATGTGCATTAATAGGCTGGCATAATGCAAAATGGTGGTATTCTGGCTTGAGATGGTAAAAATGTGGGGACAAAGAGAAAGAGAGAAATACACGCTGATCTTCAGGGTTCTGGCTTGGTCACCTTGGTAAATGGTGATTCCGTTTAGGTATTGTACCGCCACTGACTAGTATTTGTTCTGGATAAAACTGCATAAATCCTTTGGATTTTTATTAATAAACATGGGTATAAGACAACAATATTAAGTGAAATAAATCAGACGCACAAGCTTAAATATTGGATGGTTTCTCTCATATGAGAAACCCAAAATATAAACAAAGAGCAAAATAAAGGGCAGACAATAGGAAGTAGTGTGATAGATTTTTTTTCAAATGGGAAGGATATCAAGAGATGAAGGGAGGAGAGAGAGTGGATTGAAATGTGTTGTGTACACGCACCACCTCCTGACGAGGAATGTAATCATTATGCACTGCAAACATGTATTAGTAAAAAAAAGTGAAAAAATAAGAGATTGAATTTCATAGGGCGTTGACAGACATTCTACATGTATTGGAGGGGGGAATCATTTCATAATTAAAGTATGACTACAGCTGTCTAAGGCTCAATGTCATCTTGCCCGAGAGCCAGCTATGGCATGCAGAAACATAACTCCGTTTTGCCTCGGGTCGCAGGTTGAGGCCTCAATGGTCCCATGATACTGTGATGTTCAAAGACAAGAGTACATCAGCTGAAAACATCCTGGTTCTTCTAGAATGAGTAGTAATAAAAAAAGAGAAAGGTTCCACCTGGGGGAGGACCACTTCTTTATTAGCCTGCTATCTTATCCCACCTACTCCTGTATGTAAGAATGCTCTCCTTATGGCCCTCATCAACATAAGATCCTCGGTGACCTAAAAGTCTCATCAGCATAAGATCCTCATCCACATAGGATTACCGCCACCCCTAAGTCACCTGGTGCTCCCTCCAGTTATTGTGTGTACCCAATAAATAATGGCCAGCTCAGAGTCTTTGCCTACTCTGAGGCACTGACCTCCCAGCCCCCCCTTTACTTTGAAATTACACCTGTCTCTATGGTCTTTCTTTCGCCCTTGCCATCCCCCTTTCTAGGCAGTCAGAGGATTGATCGCCCTCCAATAATAGGGTTACTGCAATGACGGAAAGACTTAATATGTATAAAGAAATTAGCACAACATCTAAATCATCATTCAATATATGCTTTTATTATTACCACTTAGGATATGTTTAAAGGAGGGAGGGTTTGGGTGTGAAGTGAGAAATCTAACTTCCCTATTGAGGCTCCATTATGTGTGAACTGGGCTATAAGTTATCTTTAGTAAAGAGGAATTGACTCATTTTAACAAAGCCACCAAGAGATCAGAGGATGAAAGTTGAGAAGATTATTGAGAGGTCATCAGCAACTTTCAAAAGATGGCAGAATCAGGGGAGGATTTTCTTTTCTCTCTTTTCCAAATAAATTTTATGTGTATATTTAAGGCATACAACATGGTGTTATGGGATACATACAGCTAGTAGAAAGGTTACTGTAAGGAAACAAGTGAACGTATACATCATCTTTCATAGTTTCCTTTTTGTGTTTTTGTGGCAAGACCAGCTAAAATCTACTCATTTAGCCTAAATTCCATATACAGTATAATTTTATTAACTATGGTCTTCATGTCTTACATTAGAGCAATAGAGTTATTCTTCCTACATACCTGCTACTTTGTGTTCTCTGAGCCACATCTCCCCATCTTCACCCTATTAAGGTGGGGAGAATAGATCATGGTTTCAGGCAGAGAATAAGAAGATGCTTCAGAGGGAGATGGAATAGCTGACTACATGTGCTTTCATGTTTGTTTCTGCTCTGCAGTATTACAGTATGTTGATGTCTGGGTTGGTTCTAGGCATGGAAGCCAGCCATCCTCAAAGGCTGCAGGGAGTGGAACCCTGGAAAACATGGCTGCAATTACAAAGCAGCATCAACATTACAACAGTAATTTACTGGGATATGACTTACCACAGGATTAGTAAAGGAATTACTCTCCAGACAGGTTATTTAGAAGCCTGTATTAAATTTTTGGTGCAACAAAGGAAAGTGATTAATTTGACAAGCACATATGTTTCCATATGTAGAATTCTGCATGGGTTCCTATGTGGAATGACAACTGAAAATGTGAATTCCATACTTTTCATTGCCTTGGCAGACTATAGTGTGAAATCATACGTGACTAAAACCCTCCCACAAGTTTACACAAGCTTAGAAATTCTATTAAGGTTGTTATGCAATTGTCATTTTAGCAAGGGCATACAAATGCTTGGAAAGAATATTTCCACCCATATTAATCTTGATTTATAATTATGCATCCCTCTTCACTGGATTAGTCCTTAATTCTTTTTTCTTTTCTTCTCTGTGTTTTTAAGAAGGAAACCATTATTTTAAGCTTGTTGCAATTAGAGCAATCTGTCATTAATCAGTTTTATATCTATTGCACATGTTAGATTCAATTATGAAGCCATTAACACATTTTACATAAATAGAAAATAAAAGGCAAGCTCTATGTAAATGGGAGATTTAACATGCACTTCTAACTTCTTCTGGAAACTTCACTAAAACTGAGTAAAAGACTAAATTTTAAGATTTACATCTAATAAATAGAGTTATTTAGAAGAGATAAGTGTGGAAGCTAGAAAGTAGGTGACTACATAGTAGGAGTTGATAGGACTGAGAAAATTGAATCTAATCAGATAGTAGAGAAAACTAAAATTAATATGGTTTACAGGATATCCAAGGACTTGGAAACTAATGGTAGCAGGTCCTTGTGGAAGTGAGGAAAAGAATATGAAATAAATCAGGAGGATTGTTAGGAACTCTGCTTTAGAAGAAATTGCATCCCTAGACTCCTCTCCATATCTGTATGGTATCTGACCTATCTCAGTTGGCAAAAGAGTGAGGGTTTATTTTCAGGGAAGGGTAAAATAGATGACTCTGCCTGGAAAAATCCCAGTGTAATTGGAGGGTAAGGGAACTGTACTAAAAAAATAGGGGACTAAATGAACTTGTACATATTAGTTTTTGAGGTACCTTATGCTACTTTCATCTGTCCTTGCTCTGGGCCCAAGGCACTGAAATTAGACCTTCAACCTCTCAGTAAGATAACAGAAATCTTTTCCCTGGGAAATATGGCTCATCTGTGATGAAAACCTGATGTTGGAAGGATACTGATGACTATGGTTGTTTTCTAAAATGTCCTCCAAAAGCCTCACTGTGTTGAAGCTTTAGTTGCCACCAGATGGTCTTTTGAAGAGATTGGATCATGAAGGCTCTAACTTCATCATTGCATTAATCCATTGATGGGATCATAATTTGATGGCATCATTGGAAAGTAATGGAAACAGGAGGCAGGCCTAGCTAGTTAAAGGGTGTTGATCATGGGGATGTGACGTTAGGGACTATATCTAGTCCCTGGGCCTTTCCTTTTTCTGTCTCTTTCCCTCTTTGTATGTTTCCTGACTGCCATGAGGCAAGCAGCTTTTCTCCTCCATGCCCTTCCATCAAGATGTTCTACCTCACCTCAGGCCTAAGGCAATGTATGCCTTAGGCCTACATTATGCCAGTTAACCATGTACTGAAACTTTTGTAACTGTGAGCTAAAATAACCCTTTCCTTTTTTAAAATCGTTTCTCCCAGATATTTTGTCACAGATATGAAAAGCTAACTAACACAGTGACATTGGAAATTTCCCCATTAAATAGTCCATTCTTATGCTCCCACAGTAAAAGAAGCCCATAGCAGACCAGCCCTGCTCACATATGCTCACAGCTTCTAGGCTGTGTTCTAGTAAATCAGTCTTAAATATAGTGATACCTTGGTGGTCAAATGACTCCAAGATCAAACTTTTCACAGTTCAAACAGCAAAGTTTGAAAAAAATCTGCTCAGTGTTCATAACTTTGCTTGATAGCAGAACTGAAAATCTGACTTGAAAAAGACATGTATGGGGCTAAGAGTGAATCATACGTCATGTCTCAGTTGTAGTCACAAAGGGCTGCTGTTTCAGACTAAGCTCCACTATGGCCCAGACAATTTATAGTGCTTGTGTTAGTGCATTAAAACCTTTGTCATTCTGTTTTGTGCATGGTTTTTTTTGCCCTTTATTTGCATAAAATAGTGTAATCTAGGCTCCAAAGAAAGTTAGTGAGACCGGCAGTAAAGCTAAGAGGAAAACTGTGAGAACCACAATAGAATTAAAGAAAGGAATCATGAAAAATTTGTTAAAGTCCTGGAAAAATGAATTTATAAGTGTAATTTTGGGGCCTCAGAACCAATATTTGGTTTTCCATTATTTCTTATGGGAAAAATATGTTCAGTTCTCAAATGTTTCAGTGTTTGAACATGAATTTGGAACAAATTGAGCTCAACAATTGAGGTATCACTATGTCAGATCCAAAGACTATGAGATATCTTCTCAAAGTCTTGCCCTGAAAAATAAAAGGTAAAGTAAAAAGAAAAAAGTAATGTTAAAGAAATAAAGATAAAGCAAATGTCAAAAACCTCACAAAAAGAAGCTACTATTAGCATGAAAGAAGAAGAGAATTCTATTTTTTAAAAAAAAATCCTAATAAATAAATGGAACATTCCAAAAATAGCAAGGTTTTTGGAAATTAAATGTAGCAGAAATGAAAATTTTCAATAGAAAGGCTGAAATATACTTAAGGAATTTTCCCCCAAAAAAGAAAAAGGGATGAATATATTTAATAAAAAATTAAGACAATTTGGAATTAGTCAGGGAGTGTTACTATTAAAAGAAGAAAAACAGAAAATAGAGAAAATGAAGAGGAGGAGATAATAAATGATCTTAATTTCCAGATTGAAACATTTACCAAATGAAAACAGACTCAGGATAATGCAAAACATTGTGGTTTTATTTTACTTTTGATTTTCCGAGACAGGTTCTCACTATGTGATTCAGGCGGCCTTGAGCTAATTATGTAGCACAAGCTTGCCTCAAGCTCACTGTGATCCCCTTGCTTCAACCTCCCGAGTCCTGGGATAACAGGCGTGTGCCACCACACCCAGCTAACACTGTAATTTTATTTATTTATTTGGGTATTTATTTATTTTTGGTATCAGGGATCAAACTCAGGACCTTGTGCTTGTGAGGCAGGCAGCAGCACCACTGAGCTAAATCTCCGGCTGAAGGCGAAAAGGAGATTCTGCAAGACTATAAAAAGGAAAAACTAGTATCCTGGTCATACATACAGGATCAGCAATTTATAAGAACACAATGTTCGGAAAACTTAGAAAATGATCTACAGTCATGGCAACAAGTGGCCATCAAAAGTGAGTTTAGATCCCCGGTACCAAAAAACAAAAAGTGAGTTTAAACTGATTTAATTGATCAATAGCAACTCCTTTCAGTGAACATTCTGCAAGCCAACCAATGAGTATTTGTCCTTTGCTTTTGAAAGTCAACCAGTTCTCATATGTGGATGTTAAAAAAAAAAAATCAGAATATATAAGGGTGATTACTAGAGGCCGAGAAGGGTTAGGGGAAAGGGGAATGGTGAGAGGTTGGGTAATGGGTATTTACAGAGAATTAGATGGAAGTCCTATTTCCCCAAAAGCAGTTGCATGGTTGTCTCAGAGGGGGTGTGGGACCGTATGATTCAAAATTCAGTTATTCCCCTAGCCTCTGTTGTGTTTAAAATTTAATGGTTAGAATGTGCTTGTTAGTCTTGAGATAGTAGATAAAATCTGTAAGAAGGCAAAGTTCCTAAGTAAATCATTCAACCCCTTGTTTGTCCGGAGAACGAAAATTCCCGGACCCACTATCGGTAGAACAATCCATCACTGTGTCTGCTGATCATCAGTACGTGACGGTCGTGACCATTACTGTGTGTGTCTGCTGACCGTCAGTACGTGACAGTCGACCACTAACCTTTGTTCTTTTTTTCCGTGAATCTACATGTTAACCTCCCCCTCAACCCCTATAAAAACAGCCTCGGACTCTGAGCCAGTTGCCTCTCTTAGCTACTTTGCTTTGGGAGTGCCGTCTGGCCAGACTAATAAAGGTCTGTTTTATTTTCCAACTTGTCCGGTGTGTTCCTTCCCGGGTGTTCGTCGCTGCAGTCAGCTCCTCGGAGTGTTTGGTAAGGCCCTCGGTCTTACAGGGGGAAGATAGGTATGGGGGCCCTATAGATAGACAAGGCCTCATAGAGCTTTGTTAGAAGTTAATGAAAAAATTTACTAAGGACTGCTAGAGGCAGCTTCTGCCCCCCTCTGCAGATTAGACTCAAGCAATTAGAAAGACCAAGTAAGATATACTGGAGCAATCAGAAAGAGAAAGGCAAAAAAACTAAGGTCAAGAAGGTTCCCTGTAGCATGATTAACATAAAAATTTCACACTTCACCTTTACTTAATCCTTAAACCTAAACCTAAGATATTTATCCATAACCCCCCCCCCCCATAATATTATCCTCTGCCAACAAGATAGGGAAAGCTCATATAAAAAGAACAAATCCAAGGGGAGGACCAAAGGCACCCAGGGAGCCAATCAGATTCCAGGAGCCTACATGGGACAAGGATCTCCATAAAAAGACAAAAACCCAATTCACTTTCCAATATTGCCTACTTGTCCAGAGTGGCTGCCCGCCCACCATATCTGTTCTCTTCAAATAAATTGTCTTCTTTTATTCAAAAAAGAGGGCTGGGGATTTAGCCCAGTGGCTCTGCTGCCTGCCTTGCAAGCTCAAGGACCC